GGCTCTTGTCCCCTTTCTCTTGGTCTGTGAGCTATTGACAGGCTTCCCTGTCGGTTCAGAGGGGGTGTCTTATGTAGCGTACATATCAACGGAGGGCAATGCAGTTGGTCTGCGGCCCTCGTTACCAATTTGTTGGTAAATGACCAAGAGATAACATAACATCAACGGTTGCGGCGTAGCAAATAACGGCGCAACAAGCAAACACCTGTCAATCATATGCCTGAAAATGGTGCTGTGCCCGTAAACCTAAGAGTTCCGACCTGGCTGGCGATTGAGAAGACTGGCGACATCGTCGATGTCGAAATAGAGTTGAACGTAGAAAACGACAGAAAAAAGAGCTAATACAGAAGCGTCAAGTCAATCTGGGAAAGTGAGGTTGACGTAGAATTTGCTGGCGCACAGCTCCCGGATCAAGCAAAGCGTCCGGCAGCGAACCCGGCAACACAGACATTGAGCTAAACTTTGAAATCAAAGCAACACCTTGCCGCCGCAATCTGTTGCTGGGGAATTACGGAAGAAACGTAGACAGCTGAGGACCGGCAGGCAAGAATCGGTTGACGTATCGGATGCGACCACCATGCCCATTCATTCAGGTCGTCCGTGAGGCCCTGAGTAAGGTGACGAAAAAGAGGGAATGGGGGTGGAGATGGCTCCAATTGTGAAGTGAAGTGAGCTGTCAGAACCGGGCTGTATCCGTAATGGCAGGTAAGGTACGGTTATAAGTGGAGAGGCCAGCCGGGGACTTCCAGTGTGAAATGTGCGAATGCCAACGGCCTTCCAGGGACTCTCCAGGGCCATCCCCTGATCCGCTCAGCAGCTGGATGAGTGCGTGGCTTGGTGATGTGACTGTTGGCGGCGGTGGTGGTTGTGGGGACGGAATTGGACGCCCGTGATCCCTGTAATGAGGACGAATCACTGCACGGAAGCCAGGGGAATTGTCAAAGATTTTACGAATCACAGCTTCGATTCAAGTCCGAGACCCCATGCCTAGCTTCAAAGGGGCGTAAAGATTGGGGATGCTGTAGGAGTTTGGAGCGATGATATCCTAACAGCCAGTCTGTTAGAGATTCAGTTGGCTGAGGCGTGCGGACCAACCCCGCTTCGTCGTTCCTTGTGTAATCTACTGAGTAGATAGGTATGCTTACGCCTGGTTCCAAAGTATCGTCCTTGTCTCCGAGGTCCGCCTGGTCCATGGGCCCGCCGTGGTCGCCGTCGAATTTCCAACCTGAGAAGTGTCGAGTCAGGATGTGCCTGAAGTTCTCTGGGAGACCGACTTATAGTCAGCATGTGTCTGCAACGATTTTCACCGAATGTTGTCGCGACAATTCCGAGGGTATTTAGTTTGTCGCGAAGCATTTAGAAGGCAGTCGGGTAAAGGATGCCAAGAGACTCCATCTGGGGCGCATGGTGGGAAGCCGAGGATGAAGCTAGCAAATAGTTGATGTAACCCCTCTTGGTGTGGTACTCCCTGCCAGACCTAGCTGGCAGGCAGGCCTTTACCGACCTATCGACCGTCCCAAGGGAGTGGTATAGTCTTTTTTCTTCACGCCGGCCGCTTCGTGCAGACGGAATAGCGGAAGGTGACCAGAGAGGTCGAAACGTGCATACCTGCTCCACGAGGCGTTCACTCACACTATCTCGTCATTGTGAAGTGCTGGTAAGCACCCGGCAATCCTGCGTGGCCTCTAGCGGTGACGGGGCGTTAGCAACAATCAACGTAGCAATAACCAACGTTTCCCATCGACTGGAACAGACACTTGCGGCGTCTGGGCAATATCATGTTAGGTGTGTCTCGTCGCCTGGAGGATACCGAAACCGGATACGATCGAGACACATCCTTTTGGTGCGGGTCTTGATCAACGCATCGCCGCTTGTCTGTAATGGGGGTTGTCATCTAGAAATCGGGGCGTCAGCAGCACGACTAGTCTTTTACCAAAAGATTAATTTAGCGTTGAGCTCATGCAGCCTACGACCGGCCCTAAGCGGCTGCTTGGCTCAAAATGCAGAGGTCATTGAATCGGGAAAAACAAACGACCCGATCGTTGCGCGCTCTTCGGCGGAGTAATTGCCGTCTCAGAGGAAAAAGCAAGCAAGACAACAGGTGGTCATTGGCTTTGTTGCTTTTTCTTGTGATGATGGGCTATAGCAGCGGGGTTTTGTGTTTTACGCCGAGACGTCGAGTTTTCCCACTAACCACATTGCCTCAGACATGCCTTTGTCCATTGTGGCCATGGGATTGATGGTTGGCTGGCAACTGTACGAGTATCTGGGCGGCGGCCGCAAAGAAGGTGGTGGTCTCGGAGCATGAGCATGCATAGCTGCAGCAGCTGCAGCACTGCAAGACCTTCTCTAGCGTGGTGGAGTCGTGGTTTTGTCCAGGCCGGCAGTTTTGGATCGATAGGATGTGACGATATCTTGCTTTAACACTATCGCTCGAGACGAGCCAGTGCAATATGTGACAAACTAGGCCGAGCGAGCCCTCCAATGTAGGGCGGTAGGTTCCAGGTGAGTCGGCGGGCGATGGGTGTGAGTACTGCTGCAGTGTTCGAGCAGAACGAACCATTGATGGGTCAATGTGGGCGCGTCAAATGGTTGGATCGGCCCCCGGCTGACCACCTCAAACCCGTAAGCAATGCTTTTCCAGCGCCATTTCCAGGAAGGAGTTGGTTCTGCACAGGAGCGTGGACAGCCTGCTGTGTAACAGGACTTGACTTGACTAGATGCACATGTATCCAAGAATGGACGGCGTCATCACCTCTTTCTTGAAGAGCACAGCTAGGTATTCAATGCATCCGCAGTGCCTGAGCCGGAAGTGTATGTGGCTTCAGGCGAACAAGACGGGCGGTTACGGATACAGAGCGTCCCAACTTTGCTGTGCTGGAGGTCCTACTCAAGAAGATGCGTACCTAGATGAGTGAGGCGCTAGGGCGTAAGACATGCCGCAGACGAGGGATCGAAATGATGGTGTTGCAGAGAAGTTCGTCATGGACCCGGTGATGGATCTCGACGGGGTGAGAAAGGAGTAGCGCGGGCTAGACAGACGAGGATGATGAGAGGCCGCGCGATGTGATGATGTAGGTAGGAAACATCGGTGGTACTGACGGAATCATGAAGTTGGAAAGAGGCGGATCCTGTCTGGAAAGAAAGGTGAGACCTCGGCGGCCAATGAGACGCTGTCTTGTCCATGGCTTGGGTTTGGAACTTGTAGAGCAAAGAGGGGGCGACTGTCGTTGGTGATAGTCGGGACCTGGAAAGGGCGAGAAATATGGAAGAGAAAGCACGCTGGTGGCAGGGCACCTTCCTCCCTGCAGTAGTCTAACCAAGTTTGCGACCTTAAGTAAGCGGGAAAAGACAAGTGCATCTTGGTGCCTTCCAGTCTGGGTTTGCCTCTGAGCTGGAACCAGCTACCTTACCTAGTAAGGCAAGTTTTCTGACATTTGGGGCAAGAAAATTCGGAGCAAGAAGAATCAGGACATTGAAGGCGGCATGGAACACTTTCTTGCCCTCCATTTCTGACCTCGGGGTTGGTCATACTTAGGGTCTACGGAGTACCGTCCGAGGAAAAAGAGACACGACCTATCTTAGCCTAGAATTGTGCAAGGACCTGGCCGGGGCGGGAGTCTGAATTTTGGGCCGAAAATTGGACCCTGGAAATATCGTGGGCCCTTCCGACGTATTCCCGGTCGGCAAAGTTGTGTACATAGAGCACCAGACTCGGTCATAAAACCAGCTTCTAGCAATTTGCCAACCATACCCAGTCTCGTGTATCTGTGCCTAGCAAGCATGCCACAACTGTAGGCAGACGAGGATGATCAGCATGTATAACAAGGGATGTTCATGTTCATGAAGTTTTCTTCCATCATGTGGTCATGAGGTATCTAACCGGCTAGCTAACATATTTGACCCATTTGCTATACTGTGCGAGGCCGAGGTGGTCACGCAGGACTCATCCTAATCAATGTGGTCGTCGATGCAGGCAGTGAGGGAGCCGAACTCTCGGCAACAGGCATGACAAAATATCAGACCATGCGTTCCCCCATAGCCCTCAAAACGGGGCCGAAAGAAACTAGGGCAGAGTTTTCTTTCTTTCCCAACTCCTTATTCTTGCCGTTCGAGTCCGTCCGAGTCCGCCAGGTTGTCAAAAGGCGCAGTCGACACTGGACGGACCTAGGGTATAAAAGATAAACCTCGCCGTAACAGTAGGTCAGAGACGGTCAATGGCCGGTGCCACCGGCGTGACGATCGGGCCGTTCCTAGCACATGGTCTACTTCAAGCCCATACCGATGCCGTGGACCCCGTCCGAAAACTTCCACAGGCCGGCGGGAGGGAACATTAATTTACCAGTGTTTTCACCAATGCAGCAAGCAAGAACTAGCGGACCATAGGTACATACTTCAGTACCGAGCAGTCTTTCGGGAATGGACGAAAAGAATGAGGAAAGCAAAGGGTCCAAGTCTGCACCCGCGTCAAGCAGGTACCACGGTTCATGCTTATTGTTGGCGTTGGCAAAAGTTCCTCGAACCTCTGAGGAAGCGAGCACGGATACTCAAGCCTATCACCAAGGGTAATGGCTCGCCCAAACATGATTCAAGGGAGGAATGACGCTGATCTCAGGGGAGAAGCTTAAACACACTGCATTGTCGATTACACGAATCTGTATCTGTGCATGCAGCATGTATCGTCCGAATCTGCTAATTGGTTAAGGCACCCTACCAAGACCCGAAGTTATCCCCGACGCCTCAGATAGACGGTGCAGGTAGGCAACAGAATCCGGACTTAACGTCGTTTGTCTGCCGTGCGAGTCCCCCACACTCCCGTCCGCATGCCAGAACGATAGGTACCGTAATCACACAGAGAGGAGGAACCATCTTGAAGTTGGAAAGCCGTTGGTCTTGGTCCTGGTCTTGGTTTGCAGTTCTAATCCTGGTTCGGCCTGGGGGCGTACGGCATGCGGCATGCCAGACTGTCCCCTGGGCCTGACATAACGCTCAGTGCGCCCATGCCTGCTACTGACGGAAGGGAATCGCGTACAGAGCGTGAGAGAGAGAAGGAGGGAGGTGCGGATAGCTTATCCCGGCAAGGTGACAAGGTTCGTACGGACGCTACCCTACCTCGCGGCTTGGTACAGTACGACGGTGCAAGAGCGGGCAGTAGTGGTGTACTGGTCCATGGGTGAGTTGTGGTGCATTCCGAGATACTTTGGACTTTGTATTTGGCTCCGAAGCTCCGTGCGGCGCGCCTGTCCTTACCAATAAGTGGAGTGCTTAGGTAGATGGGCGGCCGCACCCTGTTCCCACCCGGAACGTGCTCCTGCGGTACGTACCTCTCGGTCCACCTGGCATGGAAGTTTGACTAGACGTTCCCGTCTGGGTTGGCTGACGGTTCTGTCAATCACCGCTCCGTTGCCGCTTTCCCCCCAAAATGCAATGCAATCCATCTAGTCCAATCCAGTCCAGTCTAATGCCGTCCAATCCTCATCCCCGCCATTTTACCCGAACTTCGTGATCGGTCTCCAGCAGTTTTCTTTTCTCGACTCACACTCCCTCTCCTTCGGTCACCCGTCCATTCAGCATCAATCGAAGCTTGCCAACCGACGCCTCTGGCTCCAAACTACGGTCTACGAATATAGTCTACTCCGTACTCCGTACCTACAGTCCATCGCCGGCTCAACTTGCCATCGCCTACGGGTACTGTGCGGGAACATTGCACCCCGACTTTCCGCTGCCCACGTTCCTTTGTCCCACGCACTGCTCCGCGCACTCTGGAAGCCCGGCCCAGGCCCGCTGCTAATCACCCACCTACCAACCACTTTCCCTGTACCTCTTCGTAGAGGAAGCAAACATGCGTTTCTTGGCTTCAACGTTTACTGCATTCCTGCGCCGCCTCCAGCACATACCGATACCTACCTCTTGAACCCTGGAATGGAGCCGTTGAACGATAACCGCGTCTCCCAACCGTCCTTTATCCTCGTTGCCTTGTCTGTTGCCTCGCTGACGTCGACATCTCTTCAGCCGCGCTGGACGAACCACGGCGATAGCTTCGCAGTTCTTCGCCGTTAGCTGCGTACGGTCGCAACTGTACTGCAACGCTAAGTTGTCAATCTTGGCCATCATGGCCATCCATACAGTAATACTCCGCATGCCTGAATGCCTACCGGATGGAGCTGACAATCTCACAAGCGGACGTACAAACTACAAACACCTCCAGTCAAGGATCAGACGCCTCTGGCATGCGACAAGACGCCAGGGCAGGACGCCAAACAGGTCACCCCCCGTTCGGAACCCATCCCCGACCGCGCCATGCTTGGTTCTGATCCGCTCCCTATGCAGGCTTCATCCCATCTTGCGGCCCCGGCCTTATAGCATGCCCTAACCACCCGTCTGACGACGTCCCATTGAGCACGGCCAGCGGAGGGGCCTTCTTGCTGGCAATCCAGCAACCAGCCATGCTCGACCCTCTTCCATTCTCCCTGCCCGCGGCCTTCTCCTGGCAAGAGCAAACAAACCGTCTGAATGGACATGCACCTTGCCATTCTACCACGGTTAGCGACGAATAAGAAGCATTCCCCGCATGTTCCGATGGGGCACCGAATCCCCATCAAAATTTGTTTGCTTGCCATGCCAACGTACTAACTTCCGCGCCGTACCGCTTCCCGCAGGTGGCCCTGAACTGTCAAAATTTTCGTGAAGCTCCTTCAAGTCAACGCAACCGAGTCATACACCGGCCTCTGCCTCCCAAGGCCCCCGCTCAACCCCGTCTGGAAGCAAGGGCGAACCTAAGCGCTAGAAATGGATGCTACAAACACTACTTACTTTTGAAAGCCACACAAAACGCACCCGCGCTGGCACAGCGAGCTTAGCGGCGAACTCAACATGGCTATTTGGGGGTCATTTCCGTTCCTGCGAGACTTCGGAATGCCAAAACGACGATGATTGCTACTACTGGTAGGGAACGGCCGAATCCCTGCCATTGATCTTTGGAGAGAGCTTTGAGCTAAGAGAGCGCTTGGTCAAAACTTATGTTGAATAGACTGGACAGTTATTGTCATGTAGGCACCTCGATCCGTGACCAAGCGGCGATCTTGGATGGCACAGTCCTCCTAACTCACAGATCTCCAGAATGAAGCTTCCCGAAGGCTACTCACAACAACCCGCGAGTCACTCTAGTTGCTTTTTGTCGTCTCGCTAGAGTTAGACAGCACGCCAGCAGTACAATAGTCGAGAGCCCTGATTACTCGAAACAGGCGATGTGGCAGCATGTCATTGTTATATCTCGACGCGTGTAGCATCTTCGGTCTTGAGTCCAACACGACTTGTACCAATGGTTTTCACTCTCTCCCTCATTCGACAACGACCCACCGTTCGATATACCTTACTAGCAGTCCTAGCTTTCTAAACCGAAAAGTCTGAATGGACATTCATTATTCCCTGCTTGGGTTGCAGTCTCCATGCCATCAGTTACCTGATAATTCTAATACTTGATGAAGCTTTTCAAAAGTAATTAGGGTGCTCCAGGAAGTCTTTCAAGGCTTATTTAGCGTGCAACAACATCACGAGAGGAAAAGAAAGCCCTGAGACGAACAGCGCGGGCTCGAATGATGCAATGGCCATCCAGAGATGCAGCCAATGCCATGTAATCAATGGAGACCCGTATAACTGGCAAGGCTTTTGCCGACCGATGCGCCGTTCAGCCCGGCCCACCGCTGTCTCACTTCGACCCCTGCTCTTCGACATGGGCTGTCTCCCACACCTTCATGCACTCACACAAATTATGATTTTTTGTCTGGCCTTATCTCTCGCAACAGCCGGCTACTCAGTTCAACTGAGAATGGACAGAGCGGTAAAGGCTTCGACGAATCTGGCACCGGCTCGCGAATCTCGCACCAAACAGGTGTTCGAGTTGCTAAACGTTGCCACAGGATGGAATCTGTCCATCGCCTTGTGGTCCCCGTGGCCAATCTGCCCTCATCTGTTGCAAACTCAGACCTTGAGAGGCCAACCTCGTCGACTTATTTGAGGTGAGTGGAAACCAGAGAAATGAAGAGACATCTGCAAATCCAGATACTCCGGGCTCTGGCCGATCAGAGCCTTCAACTTGCGGGCCATTGCAGCAGTTTTGCTCAGTCTGCAGACGGTTGGCAGCGGGGGTGCCTGGGGAGGATGACCAGGGCTACGAGGATCGCCCTCCGCAACCCTCGCATTCAGTGACAGCACATGGTGGGTTTCTGGCCGGGAGGACTACGACTAGGGTCTCCGTTCGACCACATCTGGCTGTGTTTGGTCTGGTACAGGCCTTGTATGCACGAAGATGCGTACCGCCCATGTCTGGTATAGTACATGCTCTACTTGGTCTGCTCACAGTAGTGCAAACACCATGGATGAGCTGGGGGGGTTGCCTCGGGAGGGGTGGGTGTGAACTGTGGTCTCCTGCAGACCACCTGTTGGGATGTCGAGCTGCGGCATTGGATGGGATGGTGGTGTATCCGTACGGGAACTCTTGACTCTCGAGCACACTCTTCCTCCTGGCTGGCACCTGCCACACCTTATCAGGTTGCGGACCAGGGAGGGAAGAAAGTGGAGGTTCAACCTAGTCCTACTCTCTCCCCTTGCACAGCTTCACAAGTATCCGTACGGATACCCTGACCACATTCCACCACGTCCACACCTAAAGGCTTACCTGAGAAAGCCTTTTTATTCTATCCCGCCCCCCTTCTTTACTCCACTGTCGTCAGTCCCGCGCCGGAAAGACTTGCTGTTCTGCTTCAGGCGTGTGTGCTCATCCGTTTTTCTTTGCCTTTTCATATGGCACTCAGACGGACACGTCCATTCCATATTACTGCGGCTCACCAGTCCCTGGTTCTTTCAACTTGCAGTCCAGCCAAGAGCTGAAGGAGGGTAGAAGCTCACGCTGACTAGACCAGGATACCTCCTGGTCTGACTTCCTACTTTTCTGCTCGTTCATGTTTCCACAACTGCGGATGCCGGTCTCGCTGCCCCTCGACCTCAAGTTGTCTGCGCGGCCTCTCTGCTCAAACCCCCCCTCGCTTGCGGGACACTGCTTCTCGCCCGCACTCCTCAGCTGGCTGTCACATACCACGGCAACAATCGAGATACACTAAAAAGCCCTAACTCAGATCATTACGAGAGGTACGGGACCCGTCGACAAGCTCGACTCGCCTCCGCCTTGCAGGTCCATCCTTCCTCCAAGATCCACCTCAGCCCGCGAGCCTCGAACTCATCTAGGGCCTTCACCCTCCACTGCTCCAGTTCGTGGTCATTGGCTCTTTCCTTCTCCTCTGATTCTCTTCCGAAGACAGCCGTATCCGTTTTGCTCGTGTCGGCCTTGGAAGCATCGCAAACGCGTTCTTGTTGGCTGCTTTACTCTCCCCCCTTCCTACTCCCCAGCATCACCTTTTCTTGGTCTACAGTCCATTCTACACATCATCTTTCCCTCCCCGAGACATTGCGTGGAGAGTTGCGCTCTAAGACAAAACCGCGAACCAGTGGAGAGGCTCTCCCCCCGATGTCTCAAGCCGTCTTGAAAACAAAGAGGACTTTGAGGTCCGCCCTGGCGCCCAGTCTCGCGAACTGATAGATTTGTTTGAACCACCCGGTCCCGCTCTCTCCGCCGACCTTTTTTCCCCCAAAACCCCGTAACGCCCCTGACGGATCACAAACCTCCTGCTTTGTCGTATCTTTCACTTGGAACGTCAATTTCGTCTCTTCAGCCACGAAACAGCGTCTAGCAATTTCACTGCACCAAGCAAGATCCACGCTCGGAAGCTATTTGTCTAGCCAACACTTACGATCCGACGCAGCATCCCGCTCCTATTCTGTTGGTCTGCTCTGGATCCCAATCTGGCTGGTATTCTTCGGCCGGACTTTGGAATATCTACTGAGCCACCCGCTAAACAAACGTCGGGGCGAGTCTGGCTCTTTACTCCGTCTACCCTCGCGCAGTCATTTCGACATATCACAGCCAACCTCCAACAACATCCCGTGGCCATCAGGCTTGAATATCCCCCAAAACAGTACAATCTTGCCTTGTGCTAGGCTTGATCACGCCGGGATCACATTGAGGTCTGACTTTTATGGTCCTTTCCTACACACCTACTTCTGTTCCACAACAATCATCTCTCAGAAGTCCCACCTTCTACCACATATTGTAGGATATTCGAATGCAGATATCAGCACCTCAATGTTGTCTAACCATTGTGTAGTTACACATCGTATTCGTCCCATCACCTTCTGTATTTGGTTGGCAGCGTTACACACCAAAATCGCTTACGATAGCCTCTTAAAACTCATACGACGACTCGGTTCTCCTGCCTTAACAAGTGGACGTACTCTTCTTCCTGTCGGTTTGCTCTCTGATCTAATTGTGCCGTGGCCATGGTCCGCGACTACAATCGGGAGCCTTACCCTCGGCAATGGCCCCCTGAAAGATTTCCAATTGACCATCCACCCCCCGAGGATGGTAGATACCACGAAGCTCGCGACGCTCGCAGACCTCCGATGGTGAGTAGTCGCAACGCTATCGACGTCTGGCGTAGATCACTTACTGTCAGTAGGATATCGAGAAGGCCCTCCGTGATCACTGCAACATTCCAGCCAAGAGATTCTTCATGGTAGCCGTGTTGGATGATGGCTCTACACAGATGTTCATGAATACGCCGGAGAGACAACCCAACGCTTACAGCAAATTCTTCAACTTGAAGAACTTCGTTCGTCATGTGAATAACGTCAACCACGGGAGTGGTGTGCGTCCTGGTGGGTTATCCAAACTGTGCCGTACTATATGGTTACTAACCCCCACAACGCAGTTGCCACCCCTGTTCATGATGATTCCGAATTCAGCCTCGATGGTGATGGCTATCAACAAGCATTTGGTGGCAGCTATGGTCATCGACACGATCGTCGTCGACTTGGCGGCGATATCTATGACGAGGATGGAAGCTACAAGACGCGCAAGAGGCACAGAGCAGGTATGGGCGGCAGCTACCGGAGACCTACCAACGACGATGACGACGTTGCGATTGTGGTTGCATCGAGCTCCAAGAAGACATTGAAAGTGGGCGACGAGAAGGACTTGTGGAATCTCTACGAGCAACGATTCAAAAACTGCCAGCAGACAGCCTGCAAGCTCATCGCCAAGGCTTGGGTCAAGGTGGTTGAGCCTAAGAAGCAGACGAATCACCCCTATACTGGCCAAGACGAAAAGGCCCCCGACTGGTGGCCCAAGCCATGGGGACCTACGAAAGAAGAGAAGGTCAGACACAAGGAGCCTGATCATCTCTATAAGCGAGGTAATATCTCCTTTTAGCAAGCACCTTTTCTAGATGCACCTACTAACGATTAGGACA